TGGATCAACACATAAAAAGTGAACACAACAGTGATTGAATGCTGAAAAGAAGTGAGGAACCTGGGTGGGGAAGTAACGGATGACGTTAGCTGTGTTTCCTCTCCACAATGATCCAAACCCCTCATCTGCAATTGTTCTCTTGAAACAGTCACCAATTCCTTTGTAAGGTTCAGAAAGTCTACCAGTCTTGATCATCTCATCCTGGTTTTGGATTAAGAGTTTCACACGCTCAATTGGGGCAGCAGCAGTTTTTGACACAGCAGCAGAAACTCCACCCATAAGAAAATCAATGGCAAAGCCAGCAAATCCTTTCTCTGATGGAGCTTGAACAAACACTGGTGAGGCATTTGAAGCAACAAAAGATGGGTCACGGGCTGCTCCACATGTTAGTTGCACAGGATACTTCAATGCTGCATTACAATAGTTTCCATAGGTGAAATGTCTCTCATGCAAAGCTGGTCTTTGAAATCCAGCAAAGTGTGTTTGAGCATCTTTTGAAAGGCCAGAACCCAGATATAGCTGGCCTGTGACCTTTTGCACGATTGATGGGTGCTGGTGCCTTTCAGCCATCTCTCCTCACAAAAAACACTACAAAAACACAGCCAAAAATTCCATTTTATACAAACTTTTCAGAAGATAGTCTAGAACGTTTACAAACTAATATTAAACAAAATAGGGATAGGCAACATAATAAGAAAACAAACCATCGGACATGATCTCATATAATTTTGTAAGATTTATGAAACAAAGAGAAAAATCTACATGTCATAGGTGATATAACACTTGAGATTAACATCCTAAGGACATCTACCTTGCAACCAAAGTTATAAACCAAGCTCAACCCATAAGGTTACTTATCATTGGTTGCAAATTACAAACAAGAACATTCTTCCTGGTCAATCACATTGTAACTGTTAAAACTAAAACATAAAGATTTGATTAGTGATTTTCTGAATTGATTCCTTTCCAGCTTTAAACTTAACTGCATTAAAATTGTCACTTATGCCAAACACAAAATATCACCAAAGAACAAAGAAATTCCTTATCTTTTATCTCCATTTCCAACAATGCACTTGCAAGAATTGGAAAAATATTAGCCAATAAACTTCAGTCAGTGAAATTCTCAAACAAGAGATTGAAAATTGACATCTGAAAAATATGAAAAGAAAACCAAATATCATTTTCATTGCTAACTCACTTTGGCCCAAGTAAAAATAACCCCAAACATATTAATCATACGATAACCTCTCTTCCTATAAAAACCATCAATATATCTAATGTCCAAGTGGTTAAAACGTGAAAATGTCATTATCTCTCCCTCCTAAACCATGATCCCTATCATCATCTCAATAAAATGTTAATGTAAGCCAATATCAACCGAGATAACTCCAATAAAAAGAGCGACCTTTACATACTAAGAATTCATATATAAAAGAAATAACAATCTTGAGAAGACTCTTTTAGATGATAGGCCAACCTAAAGCAAATCTATGTGAAAGTACAAACAAATTCAACACAAAACAATTAAGAAATACATCGACAGATAGATACATACAAGGAAACCCACATATACAGACAGATATATCGATACATATATTGTATATATACGCACAAAAATATACATACGGGGAGAGAAAAATCTCTATGAAACGATTAAGTGACCTGCAAATGAAGAGTAAAAGAGCGAGACAAACGAAGTGGGAGAGAATGGAAGAGGTCACAGATCTAAAATAATCAATAAACACAGAGAGACTGGAATGAGTTTATAAGAAAACGAAAGGATCTGTCAATGGAAAACAAACACGTAAACCGAAAGAAGAGCACTTAAAAAAACAAACAAAAGCAGTTATAATACTGGGTAAACCGATAGATCCGCTGGCTGCAAGAACACAAACCAGAATCATCTGTCAATAGAGAGAGGGAAAGTAGGCGTTTTTGTAGAGAGAAAGAAAATACCTGTTGGTCTCTGCGCTGAAAATGTGGAAAGGTCAGAGAGAAAAATGGAGAAGGAGAGGCTTGTTTTCGCAGTGATGAAAAACAAATAATGAGGGAGCGAAGATGGAGGGAGTCTCTGCCCGCTTTTAAATAAAAAAAACCCTAAAATTATTTTTAAAAAGAAAATTAGGGAATTTATGAGGTGTACTGTGGTGCATGTTAAGGTTTGATGAGGTCAAAGATGTTGACTGAAAATTGGAAAATCAAAGGGTAGAAATTATTTTTATAGTGTTCATTGATGACCTCATTTCCCATTAATAAATTTTTATTAATCTACCAATTAAATTTTGATATTGAATCAATATATACTATTTATATAAATATTACATTTTTGTTAACAATTTAATAAAAAATAAATATTTTATTAATATTTTGGACATGAATGGTATTAAATTATTAAGTTTCCATATGTATAGATATTCATATTGATTTATTATCTTGTAATATAAGGTATATAATTCAAGACTCCAATTTATATAGGTGAGAAAATTGACCATATGATTTGTATGCATAGATTGGTAGGAAGCATGAATGGGTAATTAGCATGGAGTCTCTGTTTTTAGTGTTGACAAATTAGAAGTCTTCCTCCTTAATTGGAAATTAGACAAAATTATTTGTTTATGAAAAGTATTGGTGGCTTTTTTGGTATTCACAAGTAATGGCCTTCATAATTATGACATTTCTGAAATTTTACATCCCACTTTGCTTGACTTGAAGAAGTGGAAATTGGGTTAAAAACTGTTAAACCAATTTTTTCTGGGTAAATTATAATGTATTATTCAGCATTTTTTCTGAAGAAGAAATTTTATGAAGAAAAATTGAGCATAGGGTGTTTTCTATCATCAAGAATTTCAAGCTTACAAGTAACCAAGTGAGAAATTGAGATTCTTTGCCAAACACCCTTCAACTTCCTTCATGAGTACATGAAATCTGCTTTCTTTCGCGACAATCATACGTTTTTATAGCTAAAACATTTATTGCAGAAAAGATTGGAAGAATGCCATACATGATACTGAAAGTAAGCAGGCAATTGAATTCCAGGAGCTATTGATGCTTGGCAAAGTTCATCTGATGTCCGCCCAGTCGATCAATGACAGGGTGAGAGGGATCAAAAGCTGCTGCTTCTGACATCCTGAAACTCATCTCTGACTTTTTCTGCCTCATCTGCAACAAACTCTGCTCATTCTCAAGTCTCAGCCTCTCATTCTCCAGCCTCAACCGCTCTAGTTCCTTTTCTTTCTTGTTACAATATCTCAGCCATTTAAAACGTTGTTTCTCAAGCTCAAAACTTTGGGCTTGCAAGCTAAGTCTTTCCTCGTAGAGGAGTAACGTCTGTTTCTTAATCCACTCTCTTCGTTCCCACAATGATTTTGTCGAGTCCTGAAATATAGCAGCCATTTGCAACTTCATATCATCCAGCCCATCAGAATGTGACCAAGAATTATCGTCCTGATCGGTCTCGTTTCTCTCACCCACTTCACTCATTCTCTGACCAGCCCCATTAGCATGATCATCATCATCTTCATTATCTGACTCATCGCTATCATTATTTGCACCATCTTCTTCCTCCTCCACTACATTAGTCTCTCTTGGGTATCTCTCAGAAGGGACATAATAGGCTTGCA